AAAAATTCATGAACTGGAAAGAAATAATGCCTTGATTTTAGTTGGGAAAACAAACAGGGAGATCTGTATGATCTCCTTTTTATCACGATCTTGGGAGGAATCTAATCCATGGAAGAGGGAAAGCCACAACTCAAGAGAAAAGTCACATTTTGACGGTAGCTAGAAATGCTTCTTTTGGAAGAGTCAGTCCTGGGAGAGGTTTTCTGGTAGCACAGCCATTGGCATGAGTGTGACAGCTGAGAACAAGCTGAAAGATGACAGCCAAGGCTGTAGCTGCTGACGAAAAGGCAGAATTAGAGCAGCAAGTCACACGCTGCCCACATAGCAGCTGGGGGCAGAAAGGAGCCGCTGCCGACATGCCCGACACTGGGTGCCTTGGTGCACCCCCCCACCCTGGCACCTCTCTCACCTACAAGTCAAAGAGATGGAAGGCTGCTCTGACAATGTCCCTAGCTGTGTAAGAAGGGGACACAGCCAACACATGCTGGCAGAGGGTCCTTTGAACTCCAATAAAATCCCAAACTTGGCAGATCATCTCCCAAGCCAGGGGCCAGCAATTGGATTTATCTTTCAATGAGTGGCTTCAAACAGAGCAAAACCTCATGCAGGTACACGAGAAAGCTAGGAGCATAAATTTTTCATTTGGTTTTTGATAGGAAAAAAAAATTATGTGGGGGGAATAGAGAGAAGCTAGGGGGATTAATATAGGCACTTACTTCCCTGAGAGGAGCAAGCACAAAATTAGCAGGAAAATCCAGCTCAATAAACATGTGAGGGCCTGCTTTGTGCCAGGCACTGTGGCCAAGGCAAGGATGAATGAGGCACGGTCTTTGCCCTCAAGGAGATCACGGGAGGGAGAGGAAACGGGCCTGGACAAAATCTCTCAGATAAACCCTGAAACAGAAGGAACACAAGTTCTGTGATCCAGGCAAGGTAACTCTGTTACTAAGCCAAAGTCTGACTTTGGGCAAATCGCTTCATCTCAATTTTTCATCTGCAAAATGGGGCAGTTCTTGCCTTGTGGACCCCACAGAGTCGTAGAGGTGTAAGGACCAAAACTACTAATATCATCATCACTATCACCATCAACCATAATGAGGAGGAGGAGAAGAAAAGGCTTTCTAGACTGCTGCCCTAAGGGCCTGTGATGGGCACTCAGGACGAGCGGCCCCCCACCCCCCCGTGGTTGGCAGCACTGGACCAGCCTGGGGAACAGCAGTGCCCTGTGCCCTCATTTCCACAGCTGGTTCCCACTAGGCACCCCGTCACATGCCCAGGAGCTGCCTTGGCGTGAGCAGTTCTTTCCAACCCGTTCTAACTGGCCTGATACAGAGGTGAAGGTGCTTAGTCCTAGTAATCTTAGTAAATCTCAGAGCTTGGGAGCCAGAAAGGATCTTCCAGAACATAGTGTCCACCCCTCCCATTGGTACAAAGGGCGAAGGAGACTTAGGCAGGGAATGTGACCTGCTTGGGATCACTCACGGAGGGGTGGCGGTTGAGGGGGTGAGTTGGGGGCGGGGGAGCAGCTGGATCTGGTTCTTTGGACTCTCTGGGTCCAATACAGTCACTTCTCTTTCCTAGGAAATTCTCTTTCTCAACCATGAATTCTGCTGCCTTTTTTTTTTTTTTAATATTTATTCCTTTGGCTGTGCCGGGCCTTAGTTGTGACATGTGGGATCTAATTCTCTGACCAAGGATCGAACCCGGGCCCCCTGCATTGGGAGGGCAGAGCCTTGACCACTGGACCATGAGGGACCAACCAGGGAAGTCTCTTTGGTTTCCTTTTATATCCTTAGTCTTTTCTGCTTCCAAACACCTAATATAGCCAACATCCAAGGAAAATTACTCAGGACAAAAGGAAACTTCCCCCTGATGTGCTTCCTGAGCTCTCTGTTCTCTGGGGCTTTCATTCTTTGGGGGTTATGTTTACTAAGTGCCTGTTACGCGCGTGCTCCCCATCACGATGTGGGTTCACAGACATGAAATGGGAGGGCCTGGGCCTCTCTTTCAGGAAACCTTCAAGTGAACCCCTGCTCTGGGAAAAGACAGTTCTTCTTCTTCTGTTCCCTTTAGCTACGGGATGCACAGCTTTGCCACTTCTCCACTTCCTGAGTTTCTTCCCTTCAGGCCTGTCTGGCAGCTTCTGCCACCCTGGCCGCAGGCCCATCTGCTGCTGTGAGCAGAGCAAAGGCTGGCGGCCTCGTTCTGGAAGGCTTGCCACCGGTAGCTGCACCTCCTCCTGACCCTCAGGGTTTGCATGATAGCTCTTGATGGCTTCACCTCTGTTCCCTGCGGTCTCTAAGGAATTCGGTTTTGCCCTCAGCTGAGTAACCGCCCTGCTCCGGTCTGCTCCCTGGAGTGACTGCCTGGGTGTCCTCCAGCCTTCCTCTCCCCTAGTCGCCATCTTTGTGTAGTTTAGTTGCCTTGAGTCCAGGGCTTTGAGGCTGTGGAAACAAAAACAACAGAGTCCAGTAGAAACTATGATATGTGAGAGCTGAGAAAACTGGTGTCCAGTGAGAGGCTGAACTAGAGAGTCTGGAATCCCTTCAAGTTCCACCATTTCTGAAAAGGTATACCTGAAGGTTGACAGCCTGAAGAATTAGAGGATTCTCCTGTGTGTGTCCAGACACAGGGCCAACTCCTCATACCATCTAAAAAAACACTTTTTTTTCCCTCTATTTATTTACTATTTCCAGTGCTCTCCTGTGCCTCCCGAAGCTCACAGTTTCTCCTGGGATAATTTCCCTTAAAGCCTAAAGAACTTTCATTCACATTTCTTAAAGAGTATTTCTGCTGGTCACAAATTCTCTAGTTTTATCTGATAATACTTGTTTTCACTGGTTATAGAGTTCTGGGGTTGACGGTTTTCTTTCAACATTTTAAATATTTGTTTGTTTGTTTATTTATTTGGCTGCACCTGGTCTTGGTTGTGGAATACAGGATCTTTACTTGCAGCACTGGAATTCTCAGCTGCGACATATAGGATTTTTTTAGTTGGAGCATGTGGAAAACTCTTAGTTGCAGCATGTGGGATCTAGCACCCTGACCAGGGATCAAACCGGGGGCTCCTGCATTGGAAGTGTGGAGTCTTAGCCACTGGACCACCAGGGAAGTCCCTCCTCATAGCATGTTAAATGAACGTGGGCACCAAGTTTTGCTTCTGACTGTCCCTACTCTGCATTTAAAGAACAAGGTAGTAGGGGATGGGGATTCTGTGAAGCGGCACACACACACACACACACACTCTTTTGAAACAATGCTGTGGTCTATGGAAAAGTGCCCAGAAGTAGTGGTGTTCCTTCCCCCCACTCCATCTCAGGACATCTTTCCTTGTGCTGAAATACTGATGAATGAACTCCAGGTGGCAAACCTTGATTCTCAGCTCCTAGAGAGCCCATGGGCACAATTGTTCCACTCCAACGAGCCATGACCTGCCAGTTATTCGTTTTTCTGGAGAAACTTCAGCTTGAAAATCCATTTAATTACCATGAGAGATAATCTTTTAAACACAGCCTGACATTCTTGAAAGACTTTTCCCTGTGGGAGTCAGAAATTTTATCTGCAGTGGGATTGGATTGTTTATTTTCATTTCCAGGGGAAGGACTACTACCTGGTAGTTAGCAAGAAGCCTGAGCCCTGGAGGGTTTATTTAAGTCTGTTCCTCCTCACTGCTAGTTTGTCAATTAGATTGTAATAATTAGTTTGTAATATTGTCATTCTTTTCCCCAGTGTAAGCACTGCATTTAGTTCTGTGATTTGGGCGATAATTACTTGCTATCTTTCAAGTTTCCCGATCAGGTTGTAGGGTTTTTACTTACTTCAGAATCAATGTCCTCAAGGGCTTCCTATCAGGAAGATCATAGTCTAGATTACCAGCCTCAAAGACCTACCTGGAGTTGTAGTCAGTTAGACACCAATTTTTCCAGTGTGGGACTTTCCAGTGGATTAAATAAATTCTTCCTTGCTAGAAGAAGGGAGGGGACCAGGGCAAGATAGGGGTAGGGGCATAAGGGGTACAAACTATTAGGTATAAGACAAGGTACAAAGATATTATACAACAAGGGGACTATAGCCTATATTTTATAATAATTTTAAATGGAGTATAACCTTTAAAAATTGTGAATCACTATATTGTACACCTGCAACATATAATATTGTACAATAACTATACATCAAACCAGTCAATCCTAAAGGAAATCAACCCTGAATATTCACTGGAAGGACTGATGCCGAAGCTCCAATACTTTGGCCACCTGAACTGGCAAAGAGACAACTCAATGGAAAAGACCCTGATTCTGGGAAAGACTGAAGGCAGGAGGAGAAGGGGGTGACAGAGGATAAGATAGTTGGATGGCATCATCAACTCAGTGGACATGAGTTTGAGCAAACTTTGGGAGATAGTGAAGGACAGGGAAGGGGGGCTACAGTCCATGGGGTCTCAAAGAGTTGGACACAACTGTGACTGAACAATGACAAGAACAAATACATCAATTTTAAAAAGTACCAAAGGGAATAGAGCCAGAGATTTTAAACTGAACTTTAAAAAAAAATAAGAAGAAACTAATTTCCTTTGCTTCTAAAACACATTAAAAAAAAAAAAAATCTTCCCCACTGGAATGCAAGCATGTGTGGCCTCAAGACCCAGAGTAACTCTGCTTATAGTAGGTGTTCAATATACAGATGCTAAATTGCTGAGAGTCATGAGGTCTTCTTGCGGAATGGATGTGCACCGGGTTGAAATATGAACAATGTATAGAATAAACTGGAGTCCCTGCCATGGGACTGCTCTGGCCCCTCTCCCCACATTACTTCGAAAGCAAACCGTCTGGAGGCGTTTGCATGCCCTGATTCTGTAGGCTGGGGTCCCTGGAGCCTGAAGAGCATACCTCTGGGGATTAGGAATAGAAAAGGAATAACTCTACTGCACACAGAATTAGAAGGTGAGGAAAAAACTCTAGTGGAAAACTGATTAAGTCACGGGCTTGAACCTCCCTTTCCAGGTCCTGACGGGGAGAAGAGCTGGTCCAAGACCTACCCTTCCTGTGGGGGCCTGCTGCAGTCCCCGATAGACCTGCACGATGACATCCTGCGCTACAATGCCAGCCTCAGGCCCCTGGCCTTCCAAGGCTACAACCAGTCTGCCAGTCCGCAATTTGTCCTCACCAACAATGGCCACTCAGGTGAGGGAGTGACCCCGGAGACCTGCAGTGCTGGCTGAGCTTCCCTTGGCTCCCTGGCCTCCTGAGTCTGCTGGGTGGTGGCGGGGGGGGGGGGGGGGTGCATTCTGATGAGGCACCCAGGAAGGAGAGCAGAGGGGAGCCCTTGAGGGATCCTTGGGCCACTCTCTGCAGGAGACACTACAGGCCCTGGGCTCAGGTGGTTCTGCTGGGGAAATACCTCTTAGAAGCAGCACATCTCTTGGGGTGGGATGAGGGGGTGGGGAAAGGCTTGAGCCCCTTGACCTACTGATATGGTATGAGAGTGAATTCTGGGGCATCATGAATGACTCAAGGTTACACAGTTCACTGGGGGGCTCGCCCAGGAGTCAGACCAATCTGAGTTTGAATCCTGGCTTGACTACTTATGAGTCACGAGACTCTGGATAAGAATTTTAAACTCTTGAGGTTTCATCTGGAAAATGGGCATATAGACAGGTACTGTAAAGACTAGAGATTCTGTATGTTAAGATTCAGAATACAGAGAAGCTTCCTAAATAGCAATTATTATTTTTGTTGTTGTTATATAATTCTCAGCTTGGCAGATACTTCACTGTAGGTTCCATCTTCATAGCCAAGTGTGTAACACATGGATATGTAAACAAATATCCATCTATTGGCTAAATTAGTTCCTGCCATCATTTTCCAAGGGGAACCAAGAAGCTGCTGCTGCCACTGGAATTGTTTTAGTGAAAGGGGGATGTTTTCAGAGAAACAGCCCAGGTTTCTGAGCTGCACCTCTCTGGTCCCCACCTCGCTGCATCCCCCTGCCTCTGTCCGGGCCCTGGACAGGTGATGCCAACCTGCTCTCAGGTAGCACCCAGCTGGCCAGGGCTCTGAAGACTGCCCCTCCTCTCCCTGCAGTGAAGGTGAAACTGCCCAAGGACATGCAGCTCCGGGGCCTCGGGGCCCGCTACAATGCCTCGCAGCTGCACCTGCACTGGGGGGACAAGGATGACCCTCACGGCTCTGAGCACACTGTCAGTGGGAAGCACTTTGCCGCCGAGGTGAGTGGGGTGACCCAACTGGCAGAGGATTCCTGGCGGTGGGTGGTCTGGCACTCTTCCAATCGGCTGGTGTGCAGACAAGATCAGAGCATGGCGGGTGGGGTGGGGGGTGGCCTTCATGCTCTGCACACCCACCCCAGCTCTGCCGACAGCACAGGGAGGCAAAGCCACTCCAGCCACGCTGCAGCTCACCTGTGGTGTCCCGCTTCCCTTCCTTTCCTGAACTTGCAGACTTTGTCTCCAAGTCTTTTACTGCGTGATGCTACTCTGGAGGCAGGGCTCCCAGGGTGGCACAGGCAGACACACATGCCCCTTTTCTAGACATCACCCTTCTGTGTACACAGATTAAGATCCCACCAGCTTGTCTGGCTGACCCATCCCACTGCCGAGTCATACTGGGCTAAATGCTCCCCCAGCTTTTCAAGTTTTCTTCACACATCATGCTGTTTACACGGGTCTTTCCCAGCCCATCTTTCCTTTCCATGGGCATGAGTTGTGCTTGGAGCTTGGGGACCTGAGTTCAGGGTCACTCTTTTCTACCTAGCCACAAATCAAGGGATGACTGGCATTATAAGACACAGGGCATCATGGCAAGCAGAGACTCACCAAGGATAGCTTGGGACATCACCATGGTGCTGTGCTATGTTGCCTGGAGGTGCTGCCCCAAATACCAAAGCAAACAGGAAGAGGAGCGAGAGCTTTGCTTCTGCACTGCAAGTGTGCAGTGGAGGGTGGGGATGGATGGGTGGTTGAGTTGCTCCATTTCAGAGCTCCACTGGGATTGCACTTGGGTGTGTGGTTCTGAATGTTTACAGGGCAAGAAATACTAGGAGATAAATGCTACTGATTGGCCAGTGGAGCCCGTGATAAATAATGACACAAGCATTTTCCTCTGTTCTTAAATGCTGAACTGCTTAAGATTTAGTCTAATTAGTTATAAGAGGTGGAGGGGCTGTAACTCTGGCCCAATAGGATGGCCCTACTGGAGCTGCATGTATTTCAGATCAGGTCCCTCTCTGAACCTCCAGGACTTTGTTTTTTTTCAGCCTAATTGCAATGAGGAAGCCTCTATTTTCCCAAGGGGAGTAAAGGAGTTAGGGTGTAGGCTGAGAGGATTTAGGCACTTAAAAATAATCATTGTATTTCTGCTATTAAGCCACATCATGAGACCAAGAGCTTGGTGAAGATGGACCATAAATGTCAATAATACAGAAAAAACATCAGTGATAGTGAAAGTGTTAGTCACTCAGTCGTGTCCCACTCTTTGCAACTCACCAGGCTCCTTCCTCTGTCCATGAGATTCTCCAAGCAAGTATACTGGAGTGGGTTGCCATTCCCTTCTCTAGGGGATCTTCCTGACCCAGGGATTGAAGCCAGGTCTGCTGCATTGCAGGCAGATTCTTTACTACCCAAGTCACCAGGGAAGGTGACACTAAAATGGCAGATTCTTTTATGGAGGGCCCTTGAAAGTGTAACAGTTTTTCTGGATTGAGTTTATATAAGAAGACTCTCTTGGGAATTTTGCTGGTGGTTTAAGACTCTGAGCTTCCAATGCAGAGGGTGTGGATTCAATCCCTGGTTGGGGAAATATGATCTCTCATGCTGTGCAGTGTGGCTAAATGAATACATAAAATAAAAATAACATTAAAAAAGATAAGCCTCTCTTAATCCTCTCCTCAGGGAACTGCTTTCTGTTTGTATTAGTCTTCACTTCCTCTTGATTTCATCTGAACAAGTGAGAAAAGTGCTAAAACTGAACACAAGCTCAACAGTCAGCAGTAAAAAGAAATAGGGATATAGGACCTTTGGGGTTTTAGCCACATAGAGTTCTGGACCATTTCATAAAGCAGTGCCAAGACAGGATGGTGTGGGGCAGTGCAGAGGCTACATCTTTTGGAGGCAAAGATAAGGAAGCAGGAGCCCCTAAGAAATCCTTCATAGGGGACCAATTAAAAAAGAACTAATTGGATTTAATTTTTTTCCATTAGAAAAGGCCACTTGAAACGTGGGGAACATTGAGCTGTATTCATTAAAATATGCTTGAATTCTATTTATAATCATATAAGATGGAAAAAGAGATTAATGAAGAAAAAGAAAAGAGATAAAATCTCAGTGTGTTATAGTCTCAAGAGACAATCAACAAAAATGCATGTGATCATATATAGAGAGATCATCTACTAATACAGCTCTTTTGGAGGACAGGTGATGCCACCTTGAGGATTCAAAATCAGGTTAAACATTGTCAGAGAGACTTCCCTGGCAGTCCAGGAGTTAAGATTTCGCTTTCTAATGCTGGGGGTGTTGGTTCCATCCTGAATGGGAAGTTAAAATCCTGCATGCCCCATGACCAGAAAACCAGAACATAAAACAACAGAAGCAATAGTGGAACAAATTCAAGACTTTAAAAATGGTCCACATCAAAGAAAAACAAAAACCAAAAAACCTTTTCAGAGTTTGTCATAATAATGTCTTGATGATTCCTGGACGTTGTTTTTTTTTTTTTTTTAATTTTTAAAAAGATGGTAACGATAACCCAATATGCAAAACAGAAAAAGAGACACAGATGTACAGAACAGACTTTGGGACTCTGTGGGAGAAGGCGAGGGTGGGATGATCTGAGAGAATAACACTGAAACAAGTATACTATCAAGGGTGAAACAGACCACCAGCCCAGGTTGGACAAGTGCTCAGGGCTGGTGCACTGGGAAGCCCCAGAGGGATGGGATGGGGAGGGAGGCGGGAGGGGGGATCGGGATGGGGAACACATGTAAATCCATGGCTGATTCATGTCAATGTATGGCAAAAACCACTACAATATTGTAAAGTAATTAGCCTCCAACTAATAAAAATAAATGAAAAAAAAACCTTTTTTTAAGAGCATTTTAGGTTCACAGAAAAATGGAAAGGTACAGAGACTTCCCATATACTCTTTGCCCCCAGCAACATGCATAACCTCCCCTGTTATCAGCACCACTCATCACAGTTTACCTAGACTTTTTAAACCCCAGATTTCTCAAAAACATCTCTTTTCTTCACTTTCATAATGACAAGTAATTTCTACCTGGGGGAAAAAAAATGACTTTAAAGTGGTATTTTGGAGTCTACATCCATGCAGTAACATTTCTGTTGCTTGGTCTCTTCAAATAAAACCTTTAATAAAAGCCATGTTGTGACTGTCTCCACCTGAGGGGTCAACACATGTCCTGCTCAAGGTACAGAAACGATTAACTTACAGTTGGAGGTTTACTGTCTCAGCCTTCAGATCCAAGTACAGAGTGGCCAGGTGAGGTCAGGCAAATCATGTAGGACCATTTTGCCCCAGATTCCAGAAGAAGTAGGAAAAATGACAAGGGAGAAGTGCTCCAATGTATCCAGGTGTTTTCGCAGCTGGTATAAAAGCCCATTTGCTCATTTATTCAGTATTTGTTGTGCACCTGGTATGTTTCAGGCACTAAATTAGACACTGGCGTATAATGAGTGAATAAGATGGACAGACTGCCCTGCTGGAGTGTGTAGTCTAGAGAACTGAGAGAAAAGAGAAAGCTGGAGTGGCCATGAGGTGAGGGTCTGAGAGGCCTAATCTAGCTGGGGGTGGAGGTCCCTCCTATTGGATTCCAGTCTCCTGTAAAAGTGAAAGGTTCCCACGAGTCGCTATCCCTGATGGACAGCAGCTCATCTCATCTCTCCCACTGCAGCTGCATATTGTCTATTACAACTCCGACCGGTACCCCAATGACAGCATCGCCAAGGACAAGCCAGAAGGCCTCGCGGTCGTAGCTGTTCTCATAGAGGTAAGAGATGTTGAGAAGGACTTTATGTGAGATTTGAAATCAGGAGGATGTCAGACTCAGCATTTGGTTCCACACACACCTGTCCCATTTTGGCTGTGTCTTGACTCTGGAGCAGGGGGTATTCTCCCATAGAGGTTCCTTCTCTCTTGACCTAGAGGCAGCAGTTTCTGTGGCTGGACAGCAGAAATGAGCATGTCGTAGGTGATGCTGGAAAACTGAGTCCTAATCCTCAGCCCTACTGTACAAACATGGAATTGCCTGGTTACAGACCTGTGGGGGTAGGGGACTCATTCACTGCTGCCCCATCCAGATGCCTGAACCCCTGATACAGTTCCTAGTATCCAAGCTCCATCTTTTATCTGGACCCTGGAATAAGTTCTTTTCTGAATCCCAGAAAATGGGACTAACTCATGATTCGCTTGCATTGTTTCCCCAGTGAGACAGCACATACGTTGTTTCTCCACATGCTTACTTGCCTGACTTGGCTGGCATTCACTCAAGCTCCCTTAAGTCCTGATTAGAGGACATGTGATTTGTGGCCTTCAAGGTCACAGCCAGAGAATCAGGAGCACAAGCTGTAATTCTTGCCCTGGGATACTCAACCCTTAGTGCTTTGAGCTGGAAGCAGGGTGTCCTAAGATGTAAGAGGGCAGGACCATCACACCAACCCCCTCATGGCCTAGTGAAGCATCATGACTGGTCAAGTGTATACTTCGGGGAGGATCTCAGCAGTGGTGATCATACACCCCCAGCAGATCTCTTCCATTCACAACTGTCAAGCCAGGCTCAGCCTATTGAATTCTCTGTTCAATGTGCCCCATCTCTGTTGCAGGTGGGCTCCTCCAATCCAGCATATGACAAGATCTTCGATCACCTCACAGCTGTAAAGTACAAAGGTGAGGGGTCCTTATTGCTTATTCACCCTCTGCTGGAGAATAGCATATTTGCTCTTGGGTGACCTGAAAAAGAACACAGGCAAGGGATAGGTACAGAGTGACCAGGTTCTGGAACCAGGTGGCTCAGAATGGGGATAGTTCACATTCCAAGGCTGTCGTAGGCTCAGCTCTACCTCTGCCTTGGGGAGGAAGGTGACCTTGTACCCCAACATGTCTCTCCAGACCAAGAAGTGTTCATTCCGGGTTTCAGCATAGAAGAGCTGCTGCCGGAGAGGCCTGAAGAGTACTACCGCTACAGAGGGTCCCTGACTACACCTCCCTGCTACCCCACTGTGCTCTGGACGGTGTTCCGGAACCCTGTGCAAATTTCCCAGGAGCAGGTAATGTCATGCTCTTCCTTGTCGTAGACCACGGGGTACCTCGGACCCTGCACTGCCTGTATCATAATCGATGACCTGACTACCTCACTCAGAGTTTCATTGGTACCTCTCCAGATACCACAGGGGCCTGGAAGTGCTTTGGAAATCACAGGCTGAGCTTCAAAAGCGGAGCTGTCAAGTCAAGTGGGGAGAATGAATCTATCTCCGCAGTTCTTTAAATATGAGTTGTTAAGCTGTGTTTCCTAACCTGTCCCCCAGTGGAGAGTGTTCATCTCCCAGGCGGGAAAAGAGCATGGCTCCTTACCTGGGGCAGAATAGACAGGATCAGGTTAGATGGTTTAACAAACCCAGGGGGTCGGGAGTGCAGCGATAAGGAAGTGAGGGTGTCTGCCTTCAAGAAGCTCATGCGAGTATGTGCCTGGTGAGTCATGTCTGACTCTTTGTGACCTCATGGACTGTAGGCCAACCAGGTTCCTCTGTCCTCAGGATCCGCCAGACAAGAATACCGGAGTGGGTTGCCATTTCCTCTTCCAGGGGATCTTCCCGACCCAGGGATCACGTCTCTTATGTCTCCTTCATTGGCAGGCGGGTTCTTTACCACTGGCGCCACCTGGGAAGCCCTCAAGAAGCTCAGGCTAGTGCAAAACTGGGGAATGGAATCCTTAGCAATCATCTCTAACCCTCTCATTTCTTAGGTGATGAAAGTGAGGGTTAGTGAGTCAAGGAGACTTTGGGGTCACCAGCCGGTGAGTGACACAGCTAAGGCCCAAGGCAGAGCTGAGTTCCAAGTCACTGCTCATGTCTCTGCTCCAGAGCTCAAATTCATCAGGAGGAAGCCTAGTTGCCCAGGAGGCGGGTCTGCCTGCTGGCTCACAGCCCCACCACCTTCATGAGCCCAGCACAGCGCTCATTGCTGCTCCTCCCTTTTTACCATGGAGTACCTGAGTAACCTCGATAAATGACAGCAAATAGGCAGACAGGAATAAAGACATGATGAATCAAGAGATGAAATGATTGGGGAGGCAGTAATGTTCTAACCAGAAACTGCCTTGGAAACAGTTATATAATCTATGCGTGTGCATGAAAACACCATGAAACTAGTAGTCAGATGACCTGTAAGGTTCTTGCCTACCTTTTTCTGCTCCTTTTGATGGGACCATCAGGTTAAGCCCCAGGCCCCTCTGATTAGATTGGGTCCTGAATGAGGCTCAGGAGAGGAATGCAGTCTCTTTGGGAGGTGGGGGAGCCCCTCGACACCCCAGGGCAGATTTCACGTGCAATCAGGAGCTGACAGTACATACCTTCCCGGTGGCCCCGGGAAGTGGGAAGACACGTGGGCCCGCACTCAGACACCCGCAGGGGAGGGACAGCTTTCAGCTCTCCCACCACCTTCTCAGGGGTCTCCCGCCAGGCCTCAGAGGTGAGATGTGGTGGTCCTTTCCCTTGAGGTCAGGCAAGGGGGCATCACTCTGCCTTCAGGGGGTGTTTCTACTCTTTCCCTACAGCTGATGAAGTTGGAGACAGACCTGTACTGCACACACATGGATGACCCGTCCCCCAGAGAGATGGTCAAAAACTTTCGGCGGGTCCAGAAGTTTGATGAGAGGCTGGTGTACGTCTCCTTCCAACAAGGTGAGGAGCTGTGGTGTGTGGGCAGTGTGGTGCCACGATGTCTGTTCCGTATGAAGTCAGGTGCCCTGCCCTTGGACACTGTCACTCATGCCCTAGCAGGTGGGTTAAGAGCACTCTGGCTGCCAAAGGAGCCAGGTATGTGAGGAGCTACTGAGTGTGGGTTTACTGAGGTCTCCCTTCACTGACCTTGATTCCTTGAGCCTTTGTAGAGAAGCACAAGCCAGGGCCTCCAGGCACATGGACCAGAATCTTCATTAAGTCTAGGCGTCTCCCACAGATGGGGAAGAGAGAGATACACAAGTAGGACCCTTTTTATGAGATCAAACACTGAACTTCTTACAGGCATTCTTGGCATCAAGTCCCATCTTTGGCCTTGCCAGGTGATTCATGGCACTAGCACCCACCAAGGTCCAGAGTTGCTCCTTTTGGAAAATGGATATAACCATGTCTGAGCACAAGCAGCTCATGATCTAATGTAGCAGGGCCCATTAGACAAGAAAGTATCTTCCGAACTGCCTTTTGTCTCATCTCCCTGAAGCTTGCACAGGCACCCAGAATCTATATGGAATGAGACATAATAGTTTGGTTTCTTCCTGAGCAGCAGAAGCTCAGTTCTTCCCTCTAAATCTGTAACCATAACTCCCCAGATAGACATTTAACATCTTGACTTGCTCTGAATCTACATAAAGATGGCTGGAGGCTGGGGGCCCAGGGGAGGGGGTAAGAGGCCCACACTCTTCAAACCTCCAAGTTCACTTTCTCACTGTAGACTCTTGAGCTACTCTAACTTGGGACTCTTGAGTTCCACTTTATAACATTCTTTTCCTCTTCTTCTAAATGAAGTGGGTGGTAGTCAAGGGTTATATGGAAATACTTCAATTCTTAAATAAAATAAAACTCTCCCTGGAAATAAGGGACTCTGCCAACATAGATCAGGTAGAATTTTGCTTGTGATTCAAGGATAATAGTCAGTTCTGTTCTCTGCAGTAAGTCTCTACAAGTCACAGAGGATAGGGTGATACGAACATCCTCCCCATCCCCACCTCCCAGTCAGGAGACTTGGGTTCAAGGTCATACCTTGTTTCCTCCTGGCTGCATGATGTGTGAAAATAATATCCCTTCTTTGGCCTTGGTTCCCTCAGCTATAAAGTGACAGGTTGGACTAGGTGAGCTAACATCCCTTCTGTGCTAACATGTTCTAAGTGGATACTAACAACTGCCCATCCTGACTTTACGTTGCAGGGACAGTGTGTGAGGGCAGTTACAGAGGATCAGAAGAAACCGTGCAGGAACTTGACATCCAAAAGTAACCCCCATGTGTATGAACATGGGGATAATTAGCCATCTTCTTAGACCAGCTCAGGTCTAAGCTGGCGCCTGTAGAGCGGGAAGTGCAATCAGGCTGGTGGCAGAGCGCTTCAGTAGACCTTCCCAGGCAGGCTGGGGGAGCTTGAGGGGCCTTGAAGCAGACGGGCTCCAGCTTAGGACATTGGAGATCACAGCCCAAATGCAGCTTTGCCACCACTTGTCCTGCATAGGTCAACTGGAGCTATTGCTCCCAGAAGCGGGGCTGGGCTCGCTCCTTGGAGTGAGAATCCATGGCTGTCCAAGGCAAACCTGTTCATTTGGAGGCTGATTATAGAAACTTGGCTAGAATTTTCCCCTCCCTCTCAAGTCCCAAAGATTCGGGCAGCTAATGGGGCTGTTTCCCCAAGAAGCAAGGCTGAGTCAACCCCAAAGAATGAAGAACCAAACCTTATCCTCCCAGGGACAACTGCCATTCACAAGAGCCTTCTCACAGCAATGTGGAACAGGTCAAAGACTGTAACGTGCCTTTCAGGTTGATGGGGTGAGCTTGTTTGTCAGCAGGAACCTTGAGCAATTTGGACTCAAAATTGTCTGCACGCTCTTTCACTGAGACATGTCTATAATTAGGGGCTGGTTTAATTCAGGGTCTTCTCTGAAAGTTAACAGGAACTATGCAGTTGGACAACTGGAGTTTTCTGGAGTTTTCTGCCAGGAGAAAAGTAATGTTAAGAAAATCCTTTAAGAAACAAAGTACATGGACTTTGAGAGGGGGGATCTAGGGTTTAACCAAATTGGAACAACTGAAACGGAATCACTGAACTGGACCCTACTTTTTCCTTAACCATGCTGGAAAAGGAACACAGAACTGGTTTCTGTCCTTAAGAGGTATAGAGTCTCTGACAGCCCTAGGGCAGGGTTTCTTAGCCTTGGTATGTCAATATTGACTTTCGGAGCTGGATAATCTTGTTGTGGCAGCTGTCCCGTGCACTGTAGGATGTTGAGCAGCATCCCTGACCTCTACCCATTAGATACCAGCAGCATGTCCCTCTGTGACAGCCAAAGTGTCTCCAGACGTTGTCAAGTGTCTCTGGGGAGGGGCGGCAAAGTTGCCCCGGATTGAGAACCACTGCCCCAGGCGTTTGTACAATGACTTTTCCAGGCCCGACACTTCCCCCCCCCCCCCCTCAGGTCACAGAATTCTAGGATTTTATATCACATGCCCTGGTCTTCATTCTATTCTAACCCTGTTTCCCATCTTCCTTTAGAATTTGAGTATGACTGGGTAGGTCCAAGGCTAAGAGATGTAGATGAGAGAGAACTATTCACCTTCAAGGAAGCAAACAAATCTCTCCAGCAGGGGTCCAGATGCCTCTGAGGCAGCAGCCCAAATCCCCTCATCATTCTGCTCCGTCCCTTCTGTATGATTCTTTTCTCTCATGTATGTTGTTTCTTCCTGTCTTTGGTTAGAATGCCCACTTTTGGGGGGAGAGGTGAAAGCCATGCCAGGGCATTTTTTTCAGCTCTTAAAAAAAGTGCCTTTTCCAAGTGGCACACAGGAAGTCTTGAGCTGAGGCGGGGCGATAAGACTCCTGTCCTCAAGGTGGGGTCCTGGAGAAAACCCATCCTGAGCGCATCCGGGTCTCACAGGAGTCAGATGCCCGATGTGAGGACGGAGAGAGATGGCAGAGGCAGAGTTACACAGCCCAGGGGCCCAAGCCTTGGTTTCGAGAAGCTGACCTCTTCCCAGCCGAAGGCATCAACACTGGCCCATAGGGTAGTAAAGCCAGACCGATTAAACCCAAATACTGATGTTATCAGGCTCTCTTCTCAACGTGTCAGGGCAAGGGAAACTCGAAGGACAAGAGAGAGCCAAAAAGTTTCTATAATCATGTCTTTAGTGGGTTTGAGCTGAGCTAGTGCAGGTCCCACACCTCACAGCCCAGAGCCAGCTGAGGTGAACCTTAGACAAGAGAGCCGGGCGGTCGAGGGGTAGGGCTTTCACGCTCAGCCAAGCTGTGGAGTAGCATGGTTAGAATGTGCTTGACTCTTAGGGACCTGGGTAGTTTCATAAAATGTTTTAAAAAGAGAGAGTGAAAAAAAAATCTTACAAAGCTAAGATGGCTAATTATCTAATAATTTTGAGACCAGAATGTATGCTTTGTGGTTATTGACCTCGTGTCTCTAAAAGTTCCTATTTATAAATAAACTCTATTAGGTGAAAAACTATCAATTCTTCCCGGTAATCAAATAAAAGACCAGAAGAGTTCCCACCTACAAATCCCCCTCCATACATACAGGGTCTGAATAGTCAGGAATAATCATCAAATGTGCTAAGAAATGGAGTCCTAGGCACACCTAATGCAGTTCATCACGCCACGTGTTACTGAGCACGCCCCATGTTAGCCCCACGTTTCTCTTCCACAGTGGAGAAGAGAAAACCTCACCAGGAATGTTCTCTTCACTTCCAACAAGCCTCTGGCCCAGACAGGAGGAAAAGGGGTCAGGCAGAAACCTGGGACCACCATTCATGGTCCAGAATCAGCTGAGCCTTCCAGGTGTCTCCCCTGCCTCCCCCATACTGCCCTATGGCATCTTCTGCAACACGGCTGATGCTTCACGTGTGCACGCTACAGACTTTTTCACACATGGTTCCCTCGGTCTGGGATGCCCTGCACCTCTCCCACCTGGAAAATTCTGTCAGGACCCAACTCCAATCATATCCTGCCATCCTTCCCCATTCTCCAGTTTCCTGCTTCTGTGTGGCCAGAACACAGTTATAGTTCTCTATACCTCTGTTACAGTTCTTAGTATAACACAGAGTAATGATCTGTTATCATGTACAAAAAAAAAATCTATATTATCCATAGACTACAAGCCCCTAGAGCAGGGACGATGGGCGTCTTACACGCTTTTTGTGCCTGGTGCTCATTGCAAGTTTGAAAGGATGGAGCCGACTCAGCTCCCTTCCCCTCCCCCACCAGTGTCTTCTCTGCAGAACCATCTGAACAGAAGTGTGACTGGCTGTCAAGTTTTACTTTTAGGAAGTCTTATTTTGCTTTGCTGTCAATTTGCCAACAGCATTGAAATCAATCTGCTTGTTGCAGAACATATAAAGATCAGAATGTAGTTGTCAGTGTCAGAGGCCTGGGAGGGAGCTGCTGAGAGGTGCTGTCTGGCCTTCTGTCCTCCTCCGACCTGACGGGGATGAGAGGTCCCAGCACTAGTCAATCCTGCAGTCCAGACAGCCTGACCCACCACAGCCAGCAGAGAGCACGAGGGCCTGCTGCTGCGTCGTAACCCATGCCCATTGTTCCAGGGTTGAGGCCCCTCAGAGCAACATGGCTCTCTCTTCTGGGCCGGCATTCCTGCAACCTGGAAGGCAAAGCTCTCAGACCCTAATGTGGGTCATAGAAAACCAGCTCCCTCGTGTAATCTGGTGGTCTCTTTTGGGCAGACTTATTTGTAGAAGTTATTTAATAGGTTCCATTGTGTTAAGAAAAAACTCGAGTAAAATATATCCTTTTAAGATGGTTATGCTCTATGGTTATAGAGGGCATCTTCTTTTACTTTTCTTAACAAAACATCCTCCAAAGAGAGGACCAGCATTGCAGTTGCTTGAGTCTATGACTTATATTAAGCATGATAATAAGGATTTTACCAGCTGAAACTGGATTTTATATATTTAAACTCTCAAATCCCTGCTAAACCCAAATGCTCCCTGCCTCTTTTATAAGACTGGAGCCTGCTAAAGACATATGTAATGTGTACATCTGTAATCACTATAGAACATGTCACCTACCACAACAGCCCATAGTTTAATACTTTGAAAAGGATTGTATTCCTTTTTATAAGACTGGAGCCTGCTAAAGACATATGTAATGTGTACATCTGTAATCACTATAGAACATGTCACCTACCACAACAGCCCATACTTTAATACTTTGAAAAGGATTGTATTCCTTTTTATTCAAAATTCTGTTTGAATAAGCAGAATTGCAAATACACCTAGAAATTGCTAGACTTGTCCCAGGAACTTGGAGCTGTATACAGGAGGTGCTTGTTCCTCTTGCTGGACTTTTTCTGTGTGTGCACTTGAGGCTTCAGAAGACCTCACATGCGGTTAACCAGCCTCTCTTGGTCCAGCAAGATACCAGTGGAAGACGCAGCTCCTGAGCCAGCCAGAACAGGTAGTTGTACCCTGTGATAAGCAGCATGTCGATCTCGGGGGTCTGAACCTTCCCCAGTGAGGCATGCGGCACTGGGACTCTTCCATACCTGTGTGATTCCTTCTGTGCGTCGTACTGTCCCACCTCTGCTTGCCCTGACTGGAGAGCAGGCGGCTCTCCCATGTCTGTACCGTATGCAACCCTTCTACCAGCTCGGGAGTCCCTTTATTGCATTCTCATCCTGTGGCTCTCGTGGGCCATTGCCATCAACCAGCCTGTCTTGTTCTTCCTGTCCGTTCTTCTGTGGAAACTTCCCGTCTCATTCAGAAACCATTCCTTTGTTTAATCAATCTGCAAATGAATCTCTGCCCCTCCCTGCACCATCTGTGATGCCCATTCTTTGCACCATCCCAGGGGCTCTGCAGGGATGCAGGTTTTGGCTTCTCTCAGTGGGTGCTAGTTCTCCAGTCCCCCCATCAGTTCTCCTGGTGCCTTTTGTGACTTCCCCTTGTGGCGGGCTATAGTCTACAGGGTCACAAAGAATTGGACATGACTGAAGCGACTTGGCATGCATGCGTGCTTGCCCTGCAGTTATCAGATGCTCTGACTTCTGCCGCCCCTGGGACCTAAGAAGCCCTGTGCTGCATCCAGTTGCACAGAGGAGCCCGGCTCCCTGAGGCTTGGTGCTGTCTCACCTGCAGGGGAGAGCATCCAACATCACTGTCCTGTCCTGGGCTTCCTGGGCTTCCTGGCAGGCAGAATTCCTGCCAGGTGCTGCCCTCGCCACCATTTCTCTTTCCAAGTGGCTTATATGCTTTACTTGCTCAGTCAAGCTGCTTTGTTTTCGCTGCATCAGACTCTCGGCTGTGAAGCCTCTATCCCAGAATCTAGGGATTTCCTCATCTTCCACCTGCTTGGTCTTGTCTCACTGTTTCCGAGGAGAGGCAACTTAGGCCCCAACCAGTCGTCATCCAGAAGCAAGGAACCCATGTTAGAGCACCTGGATTAAATTAAGCTATTGTTTTTAGGGCCTAATACAGTCAAGGACACCACTCAGTGACGCAGGAAAATCAGACTCTCCTGGCAGATCAGCCACCCAGCTGGGTCACGTGCTCTTGAGAAAAGCCTCAAGCCTGGAGCCTTGCTTCTGGAGCCTTTCCTCTGCTCCCTAAGACCATGGCCTAGGGGCACCTCCTCCAGCCCTGGAGATGGGCTCTCAGCTGTCTGGGGGCCTCCCTGGCTCTCAGGATGTTCGAGGTGACTGTGAAAGTGACAATTTTAGAAACATCCAGTTTGGACAGCTTAACCAAGTGGTCAGGCTTACTAGTAACCGTCTTACATGGCAAGAACTAGTTTGGTACCACAAGCATCTGGAGCTTTAGGAACAAAGAACCAAAAGTGCATTTCATCAGAAAGGCTTGGGGAAAAAAAAAAACAACCACAACCAGTTGGGGTTCTTTTTGGTTGTGGTTGTTTTTAAGATCCTGGAGGCCTTGGTTACCTTTAGGTACCTTAAAACAAAACAAAACAAAACACCAAATTATAGTGTGCAGAGGCCATAGGCCATGTAGAGAACAGAGCATGTGCTGCACAAACACGCGATGCACTCCCTAGGGAAAGACTCATGTCCAAGGGTCTCCCCAAGCCACAGACTGGTCCTTGGGTTCAGGGCAGGGAATCAGGCCAGGGGAGCCATGTTCTTTGCCACCCAGGAGGCTGTGGGATGCCAGTAGTGGCTGGCAAGAACCAAGGGAACAGGCCACCCTGTCCTCTGTGGATGGCTCCTAACCACACCTGCTCCGGTCATCCTTACAACAGCCTGGGGCCACCCAGGAAGCCAGACCGAGGGCTCCTAGAGCCCAGGCTTGGACCAGTGAGGTTACAGACTCAGTGTGAGATTGTGGAAGAATATAGTAGGGAAGGAAGATGGGGCTGATAGCTCCAGGAGAATCAGCAGACTTGGAGGGGCCAGATGGCAGGAGAAGGGGTGAGCAGAACCCCGCTCTCCAGGCTCAGGCCTGGCTCCTCGGGGTGTCAAGGGCCCCATGGGCAGGTGGTCCCTGGCTCTCTGCTGGCATCTCAGACTTGGTCGGGCCTCTGTGGGCACAGGCTCTCCTGAGCGTCTGGCTGGGGGGCTACCTTCTGCACAACTCCAGCTGCCAGTGTGAACTGGAACACCCACCCACCACCACCACACACACACATAAGCTAGAAGTTTCTACTGAAATCAGAAAACCAGCGGATAAGCAGGTCTGTGTAAGCAGAGGCTTTCTGTAGATGGAGGGTATGACTGGGAGGAGGAGTCCTGAGAGCCTGCAAGCAGCTGGGGTAACCTGTATTACCCACCAGAACGGATTCACCCATGGCCCTCCCTGGGGAGGTCTTCGGCAGGCTGACTGTAAGCTTTCTCCTTAGATCACTGGGCACTATTTCAGCCCCACTGAAGACCTCCAACTCACCCCGTTCATCCCCAACAATAACTCATGGAAGGGGACACAGTCCTCTGGTTCCACATACCAGGGAAGGGAGGCTGGTATGGTGGATGGGTTTCTCCGGTTTGTCCAGTGGAACCAAAGTGAAAACAGAACAAAACCACAATAACACTGGATGGGGATGGACGCGGAAGTCTGGTGACAGGTTCTAACCCAGCTCTGCCAGCCTGAGCCAGCCAGCACCTAGAAAGTTCTTTGCTGAGGACGAGAGGCAGGTGCCAGGGAAGCAGATAAGAGCCTACCCAGATAGACTCTAATTCTTACCCTTGCTCACCTTTCAAGTTGGCCACACTGGGTGAAAAGCTTAAGTCTTACCCGAGTAGAGAGACTGCTGTGATAAACGAGCATGGTGGGAGGGTTCACGGTGTGAGTTCCCTGGGTGGGCAACTCCTTCCACCTGAGCCAAGAGGGAGCATCCCCAGAAGGGTGCATTAGCCCTGTACCTCCAACCAACCCAAGGGAGAGCGTCAATCAACACACTGGTCAAATCTGCCATGGTTTGCCTCGGTTAACTTTTAATCTTTTCCTCTCCCCTCCGAAGTGCCAGACCCTCCCTGCACAGGACTGAGTCCGGGTATGTGGCCGGCCGGCCGTGCATGCTGCAGCTGGGTGATCGCTGTGATTCTCGGTGTGATCTGGGCCTCTGAGACTTCCAGCTCATCCTCTATGCTTCTCTGTGCTGTCACTCTGACTCCTGGCCCCCTCCTCACTGTGTGTCTTACCCTCAAGTTGCTCTCTGATTCAAACATGAGCTGCCAATCAAATGCTCCTCTAATGAAAGACCTAATCACTTTATAGCATGTGTACATTCAAAGAGCCTATCCAAGACCTTCTGTTGGCCAGGGTGGGAAAGCAGTGCCTAAAAACTAGGCCAAAGCCAATATATGGAGGTTGGGTGACCAGCCAGTTGACCTTGGCAATGGGCCCTGGCTGTTTGGGACTGCTTAGGACTGTGCAATAGAACTTGAGGTCAAAGCTGATCAAGAGGCATCTCAATGGGCCTTGAATCCAGCAAGGCAAAATGGAGTAAGTTTTTATTATGTAGCCCAGGGTTTCTCAGTGTGGTTCATGGACCACATATCAATACATCAGCATAAGCTAGAGGTGTTTGGTAAAAAATGAAGATTCCTGGGCCAAATTCCAGACTAAAGCAGACTCTGAAGCTTGGGCTCAAAAAGAGTATACATTTGAAACAAGCTCTTCAGAAGATGCTGATGCAAGTTTGAGAACCCCTGCTGGATAACCACTACAATTTGCAAATGGCCCCTGTGAGTACTCCAGCCAGTCCTGCTCAGCCAGAGACCAGAACTTGAGAACAGAGGCAGGGAAGTTACACCTTTCTGTGGATGACCCTGCAGCTGTCACCTGACAGCACACATGGGGACGAGATGAAGGGAAGGGAGGGTTGTAACATGTGTGCATTACCCATCCCCAGGCATCGTCCTTTCCGTGGCCTTGGCTTGTGGTCTTGGCATCTGTATTGTCCTGGCAGTATCCATTTGGCTTTTCAGAAGGAGAAAGAGGTGAGCTGGTTTGGGTTTGAAATGGGAGTGGGTGGCTCTGTGTCCATGAGAATTGATCTGTCTGGGAAGGCAGGGTGCATGAGGAGCCGTGCCACCTGTACCAGCTTATCCTTGGAGTGCCATCTCCCAAACACCACTGATTGAGGCCTTGGCGTGAGAGGCTGATGCTGGCAGATCATGGTGCTCAGGGCTGGAGGTGTGTCTGCCAGTTTGACTCCCACTGCCAAGACCTTAGACAAGTCTCTTGATTTCGGAGGGGAGGTCCCATGTGCCTAAACACAAGCACCAAGACTTCTAAGATCTTTTCATCCGGTTTTTCTTCTCTAAACCCAAAAATAAAATTGAGGAAAATTTTGATTTCTCATTCACATTAGTGCCCTTTGCTCATGTTCTTATTGCTTAAATTAACCTATTTTTCCTGGTATGAAAAAACATAAAAGGCTGTCAGAAACCCTGTTGGAATCAGAGATCTGAAGCAGCATGTTAATGAGATCTTTGTCAAAATGCAGGTCTAGTATCATCAAGTGTTGAAAGAGAACAGTTGAAAAATGAACAGGTTCCATTTTGGTTAGCAGTTATTGGGGGGCATTTCCTCCCAAAACCAATGGAACTTGAGAAGGGTTTCCAAGAGAAGAGTTTGACTTGCCTCATTCTGTAGCTGACTCAGGTTGTTCTTGCCTCTCTTTCCTCTTTGACTAACAAAATTCCTATGTTCTTGTTGCTCCAGTAGCAATAAAGGTGCCAACAAAGGAGTCATCTACAAACCAGCCATCAAGCAGGAGACTGAGGCCCATGCCTGAGGCCCTGGCACACCCAGGCACATCCAAGGGAGGACTTGGCTTTGGATGCAAACTGCTGTGGCTCCTTGGACACTTGACATACCTGAGGGTTTTCTGGAGTTCAACCCACAAACACCTTAGACCCTTGGGGGACCCTACCATACTGCTGTCATGCCACCACCTCCAGTGGGAGTGTGGATGGGAAGAACTCACCTAGAAGGTGGGAACTCTAAGCTGTCTGCTTCATGTGCGAGGCCCTTCAGTGGTCTGGATTCTGAGGGCACAAACTGTATTGCCTGCTGGGGCTGTTACTGGCTGGAAAACACTTTCATCCAGGGGTTCACGTGAGTGTGGTTTCAAGTGTCTGGGAATCTGCTTCTTGTCCATGCTTACAGATGAGAATGTGCGGTCTCTGCTGAAGCTTTGTTTTTGAGGCTCCATTTCTTTCCTCAGAGAAGGGCTTGTTCAATTTCCTTCTGCTATGATAAAACCTTTAGTCTGACCTTACAATTGAGGGTTGTGTGTGGAGGGGGGGTGGCAGGGAACAGGAAGGGTCAAGGTGTCAGAGACAAAAAGAAAACAAGAAATATTCTTTGCAGTACAGTAAGCCACTTTCCAAGTCCTGTCCTTCAGATCAGATGCACTAATTAAACAGACCTTAGCGAGAGAGAAGACACATAAGATCTGGAAAAGTCTCATTTTGAAATTAGATTGGAGGGCTTTCCTTGGTGGTTCAGTGGTTAGGGTCCTCCTTGAAATGCAGCAGACATGCGTTCGAGCCCTGCTCAGAGAACTAGGATCCCACATGCCTAGGGCCAGCGAAGCCGTCATACTGCAACTACTGAGTCTTCTTGCCACGCAAGGAAAGATCCTGCATGATGCAATGAAGATCCCACGTGCTACAACTAGGACCTGACACAGCCAAATAAATTAATAAATAAATATTTTAAAAAGAAGAAAAGAAATCATATTGAAATCAGAAGCTGAATGTGAAGCTGTGAAGTATGAGGAGGACGGAATATTAAGCCCAACCTAACCTCCCATCAGGGGGCATCTTTCTGTTTTGTACTCTACGGATTTTATAAATAATTAGGCTGTTCCTTGAAAATGTGTTATTTCCTTCTCTCTCCTAGAGGAGACATGAATTCTGAGATGACCTCAGCTGCTTTTGTATATAGAGGAAACAGACAGAAGCAAAATGGTTGAAGATCTTTGTCTCTTTTGCCCAAATTTCCTTTCTGCTGCCTTTGGGGTGTCCCTACTGTCAACCTTGAATTGGGACCTACCTACTTCTCTGACTTGAAGGATGTCGAGTCATGGCTGAATTACAATATATTTTCAAACTATGAAAATGGGAAGTTACTTGTGCAGGGGCTGGCATCATGGTATTCAGGGGCCAGAAATAATGGAATGTTAACAAAGATCCTTCATGGTCTTCCCTGCCAAGTGACAAAGACAGTTTCTGAGACAACTTAACTCCTTCATTCTCCTCCCATCGACCAAAGAGCCCTGTGGAGATCAGTCTGTTCCATGACTGAGGAGGAGACCCCCACCAACCTCTCCTGGCTAGAAGCTTGCAGTTCACAGAGAACCTTATCGTTCTCACTCTCACTGTGACAGCGTGGGGGTGCTCTCTTGAGCGCGTCTAAAGTGAGGTTAAAAGCATTACTGTTGGCAAAGCAACAGTGGTTTGCAGTTCCCTGTCTAGGTGACAGGTTTCTTTAGCATGTCTTTTTCCCTCTCCTTCTCCCTCTGACTCTGAGAAATCGCCCTTGTATACTCTCATAACTTGTAGTAGTGATGCTGGGCAGAGTTACAGGGGACTCGATGGAGACTCAGACATTTGTGTCTACATGAGATGCCTGACTCCCCTGGAGCCTGGCATGGTATCCAGCCTTGCCATTAGCATGCCGGCCTGATGCTGATGACATGGCAACAGGGACAACCCTCAGGGCTGAGCAGTGGGAGTCAGATGATGCTTTCCTGTCCTCCGCCCAGAGCCACCAATCAGAAGCCGACAGAGACCACTGCAGAGCCATGGGGCTGTATTTCAAAGAGCTTTCTACGGCTTTTTTGGACACATTCTGTGAGAGAACAGAGAAGTCACTGTACCTAGCACAATGGCTATTGATAAAAACAGACACTTACGGGGGTGGTGAAAACAGTGACACATCTCCTGCTTCCCCTGGCTCAGCACAGCCCAGGCTCTGGGACCTCTTGGCTCACATAAAGCAAAGCCAGGCAGAGGGCACCAAGAATCAGCACTGTCGTCCTCCTTGCTAATCCGCGTGGGACTCCTGAGGACCCAGCCCTGCATGGGGAAGCCTTCCCTCAGGTTCTCCCTCCCTCCCTGACACCAGCTGCCTCTACGGAAAGCAGTGCGGCGGTGCTAATGCTACTCTGCCTCCCACTCACCCTGGGAGGGCCCGGCACTGTGCTGGCACATGGCAGGTGGAAGGGAAAAAACCAGGCTCCGGCTGCGGCAGAGACGCAGGCAAGGCTCTGGCTTCTTTGCCTCCCTGTGGTGGGAGGTCTTCAGTCCCTCTGCTCTGTTCATTAGTGTCAAATGATGATGATAACAGTAAAAACCTGTACCTGTTTCCTTAACAGACATGCTAGGATGCTGCGTTGACTCTTGATCCCATTATTGGTTCCACCTTAAAGTCTCCTCCCCTTCACTCAGCTCCCTGAAGGCCTCCTCCTGGCCCTTGGGAAGCCCCAGGGATGGGCACCACCTCTGTCCCTGTGGACCACTGGCCACCGTGATGATGGTCCATTTAGGACTTCTGTATTTTTTGTAAGAATGACTGTAATGAAGACATACAAATATGAGAAATTATAAATAAAATGTTTTTTTCAGATCAGACTAGTTTTTGGAAGTGAGATTAAAAGTATTACTATTGGCAAAGCAACAGTGGTTTGCAGTTCACTGTCTATGGTGATAGGGAACAAGTCAAGATGAATAATGATGTCATTTGCAGCCAGGTCATAGAACCCAGCTCCAAAGGAAAACACATGGATGCCCTGAAGCATTTTACCAAGGATGCAGGCCTCTGATGTGTGCAGCCCTGGTCACACAGGCACACTTAGAGGATCTTGGATGTCTAGAGTAATCAGGCACTGACTGGCTCAGGGAGAAGCGGGTATCTCAGCTGAGTCTTAAAGAATAAGTCATATTTGAACAGATGAATATAAAAGAAGGAGCCAGGGGACTTCCCTGTTGATCCAGTGGCTAAGATTCCACATTTCTGATGCAGGGGACCTGGGTTTGATCCCTGGTCAGGGAACTAGATCCCACATGCTGCAACTAAGAGTTCGCATGCCACCACTAAAGATCCCACATGCTGCAATGAAGATGGAAGATCCTGTGTGCCACAACTAAGACCCGGCACAGCCAAATAGATAAATTTTTTAAAGTACTGGAAAAAAAAAAGAGAGGAGTCATTCCTAACCAAGGTGACTGAATACAGGGAATGGGTCCCAAGTGTCTTTTTACTTCAATAGGTATTGTACTAGCAGGTTGGTAGCATCTCTTGGTTGCCTGACTGTTACCTTATTTTGGACTCTTTTTTGCTGTCCCCCTCCATATAATCTTTTGTCTAAATCCAGATTTCACATTCTGGTTTGCTAAAGGAAGCAGTTCTATAAAAGTTACAAGTGGGCACCATCACTGTTTGAGTTATTAGAAAAGCTTTGGATTTTCACTTCAGTTGCCCTAGGACCAAGACAGAGGTAAACTGTTCAAGGATAACTGCTCCAGTAGGAGATAAAGCAGTGAGTCTAGCTTTGGAAAAGAAACATTACTAACCTCTCCAGGCCCTGATGGTGTCTTCAGTTGGAACGCAAGGATTCCTTGGTTCCTCCCCTTTGTCATCCTTGCTGGTGTCACAGCCATTTGCAGGGATGAGGCCAGAGGGGAGCAAGGCACAGAGCTCCAGCCCAACACCCATTCCTTACACTTGCTCCCCTCCCACTGGGATGGGGGTAAGGATGGGGGAGGTTGGAGGAAGCACTTTCTGGAGAAAGAAACGAGCAACAGAAATTATCTCCCTTCTCTCCATTGCCTTTCTCTCCATTCCCCGAACATAAGGTGCATCTGGGCTGATGCTGAAAGAGGTTGTGTCGATGAAAGCCATGGATGGTGAGGAGATTCAACACTCCTTCAGCTTGCCCATTACTGCCTCATCTAAATTCAGCTGAATGGACAATCCAGGGCCCAGAGTCCAACAGAAATATGATAAAATATAGTGTGATATGTGAAATTTTAAAGTTCTAGTAGCCACGCCAAAAAAAAAAACCTCCCACAAAAACCAGTGACACTTTCATAATATATTCTATGTAAACTAGTGGATTCAAAATACTATCATTTCAATATGTATTTTGATGTGATTTTCATTCATTTTTCCCTAACGTCTTTGAAATTTGGTGTGTATTTTATACTTACAGCTCATCTCCATTCAAATGCTAAATTTTCACTGAAAATTCCTGATCTATATTTAGATTTCATAAAAGTTTACAGTTGAAAATGTGTTTAGGGACTTCCCTGACGGTTCAGTGGTTGACACTTTGCCTCTCAATGCAGGGAGTGCGGGTTCAATCCCTGGTCTAGGAGCTAAGATCCCACATTCCTCATGCCCAAAATATCAAAAACATGAAACAGAAGCAATACAGAAACAAAATTCAACAAAGACTTTAAAAATGGCCCACATTAAAAAACTCAAAAAAAAAAAAGAGCATATAAACATATTCAAGTTGCTCAAACATAAAATTTTCCAAATAACTGAATCAATTATCAGCTTTTACATTTATTAAAATAAATGGAGTTTCTCAGTTTCAATAGCCACATTCCAAGCACTCAGCAGCCAAACCCCGCCAGTGGCTGGTCTAGCCACTGTGCAGATATGGAACCCTAGCCGCTTCTGACAGATGCTTTGGAACGGTTAGACCTAGATGACTGCCACATAAAATAAATCTGGAAGAAAGCCCTGGAAGGTGAAGATGGGGGACAGGAGACAGAGGGTGGGGAAATCCAGGGAGGTGGACTGGGAGGACAGGAGAAAAGAGGGCAGGCAGGAAATCAGGCCAGCAGACATTAGGCGTGGCTCTCCTTCTCCTTGTCCCTCTTCTGCTTCTGGGGGTCCCCAGCCCTCCCTGCCCTGGCCACGCCTCTCAGCCACACCCTGGGGTCCAGATGCTCAACAGTGACATGGCCTAGGGCGTCCCTGCCTTTGAGGAAGGTTGGGCCAAGGGCAGAGGGCATCTGGTTAACTTCCGGGGACCTCGCTAAAGGACCCTAGCCAGGCGCAGGACGTCTCTCCCCATCTCCTTGGAGTCCTAACATTGCCTCATGGGACAAGATGTCTCCTCTCCTCCAGAGTCTGACATCCTGAGGGGGGCGAATGCCTGAAACCCATGTCTCTTGTTAGCTGTGCCCTATCCTTCACGTGAGAAGGAGTCACCTTCCTTCAAGGTGTGGGGAGAAGCTTGAGACCCACTTACAAGAGAAAACGATACCTCCAGGGCCGCCTGCCAGGCAGCAGCAGTGCCACCTGGGCAGTGGGGGTCACTGTGGCGTCACCACGCGCGTCCACACTGGACACCGTCCTCTGGCTCAGACTCAACAGTCGCAAGATACAGGGGAGGGGGTGAGGCCCGGGCAACGCCACGGAGGCGAGTCCCCACACCCCACCCGTGCCCTTTCACTACAGAATGACTGGACAGAAACAAGGGTCAGAGTGCTCTGCGGTACAGAATTATTCACAATAAAAAAATTATTGAAGGTCAGCATAGCATCGAGACTGCGGTCAACCAGGGCCTCAGTAATGCCTCCTGCCGGTACACTCCTGACTGTGTCAGTGCATCTTCACACCCTTACCCAACAACCCAGGGAAAGAGAAAGCCCTGCCCTGATCTTATAAGTGGAAAACGAAATAAGGGCTGGTGCTCCGGGCTGAGTCATGACCACAAAACTCCCTAAGTGTAGGATCTTCAATGACAGGGCAAGGTCCACCCTCCACAGCTCCAGCGACACGGAACCACCTTCATATAACAGAATTTACCATGCTTATCACAATCATGCCACAACCTCATAAAATCCCACACGATAAAGACACTAAAGGCCTTTGTGACAACAATTTCTGGAAAGTCAACTACAACCCCCTGCCTCCAATCTGCTTTGTAACGTTAAACTCCAGCATCTGCTCAGAAAAAGTATGACCAAGTTTGACCACTACTGCTAGCAGACAACTGGGTCAGCTTAACTCTGGGGATGTTCCCCTCACCTCTAATTCAGCAAACCAAATTTCCCAAGGACACATTCACTGAACTTTCTCCTTTCCTAAAGCTGAACTGGAGATAAGGAATAAATACACACACACATATAAACACATAAACACACACATATATAAATTCCATTTGTATAAAATTCTAAAAAATGCAAACTATAGTGACAGAAACCCCAGATCAGTGGTTGATTGGGGATGAGGTGGGAGATGAAGGGATTACAAAGGATATGAAAAATTGTTGAGATGATGGAAATGTATGCTATCTTGATGGTGGTAATGGTTTCTCTACATATGTCAAGACTGCTCAAGTTTTTTACTTTGACTAGGTGCAATTTATCTTACATAGATTATACCTCCATAAAGCCATAAAACAGGAGAAGAAAAACCCCATAGAGCTAAATAACATCCTGCCCCAACCTGGCACTTCCATTCAGAGCTTACCCCCCTGGTGCATCAAGAAGGAGATGCCTGGCCAGGCCTGGAGCACATCTCTGGGACTCGTCCTGTTGGCGGGAGCCCAGGAGGGAGCGTGATCTCTACTCACATGGCCACTGTGACCTCTCCACACTGTAAGTCAAAGTCATTCTTTCTGCCTGAGTTCACTCATTTCAAACATTAACTTACAATTACCTGCAATGAAGACAACAGACACAGGGCCTACGAGTTCAAGGGCACCCTGAGACCTCTATAGCAACTCTGTGCCCATGGTGACAGTCGATCAGCTTCTCTGAAACAAGCAAAGACTCTTCTGGTGAGGCAGGTAACATAACCAGTTAGTTCATCTGTTGAAACTAGTGTCCCAAGCTACCTAGACATCCAACGACAGGTCTCATGCATCTTGATTTCACTGCTTCTCAACCATTCAACACATACCCATTTGAAAAGTTTTCCTGGATATGGTACATCCTTTTCATGTAGAACAAACATGGTCAGGAGCTCATCACTCCCTCTGATCCACTGGGTAAAATCTGGATTAATTTTACGTGATACAATAAGAAA